TTTTAAAAAATACGGCATAAAAATCAGGCTCTACAATTCTCTCCATTAAATATGGGCTGTGTCAGTTTCCAAGTTCTTTCAGAAGAAGAATACTCTAGAGCAGGGGTCACTAAACTTTTTACAATCATACCTCCCTTTAGTACAATCTTAACGTACACACCTCTCCTAAAAATCCAAACTCCAAAATGAACACAAGTGTACAATGAAAACTATACAGTGAAACGTTGCAAAATGTGGATTTATTGTAACACTGTAACTAAAAGGTTCTTCATATCTTCCCTGGACTCTGTCTGCCCATGGGAAATACAACTCAGTTTGGGAAACCCTGCTCTAGACAGACTGTATTTTCTTTGGCAGAAAATGGAAAATGGAAAATTTAACACATTTTATTTCTGTGCAGCAAATGGAGGTGACCCCACTATTACCTTGGCAGCTTACAAAGGCCAAGGTATTGGACTCACCTGCAGCTCTGAGGGGTGGTATCCAAGACCTCAGGCTCTCTGGCTGGACAGCAGAGGGGAAAACCGGACAGAGAAGTCAGCCATAGCAAACACCGAGACCATAGCGGGAATCTTTCGGGTTTTTGGTTCCATTACACTAGAGCCAGGAGTGGATAGCACAGTCTCCTGCAAAATCATCAACAACCTGGTAAAGAGTGAGAGAGAATCCCGAATCCTCATTTCTGGTGAGTGGGCCTCACCAGACTAGAGGCTGAATTTTAGTACTGGAGCTTACTTGGAATATACTGTTAGAGAATTATATATTTACTGACTGTTTAAAAAATCATGCTGCTCTTTAACATCTATTTGTCAGTGTTCCTTAAACAGTAAAAACCAAATCTGACATAATAATTGGGGAAATGGATAATGCCAGCTGGCATGCCTCTTCTTCATTTATGTCCTGTCTTTTAGGGCAGGGAGATCAGTGAAGAATTGGGGGATGCAGTGAAGGAAAACTAACAGACTACTGGCACCCTCTCAAATGCTCCAGGGCAGGGGCATAGTGCACAGGGCATGGGGAATGGCCTTGAAGGAGAAGAGAAAGAGCCACTACCAAGGCAACAATGAGATGAAAGGGGACTGAGCCCAGGCCAAGAAAGTAAGATAGGTAAATATCTTAGACAAGCACCCCCCTAGTTCATACAGATAAAGGGAGGGAGGTGGGAAGTGCCTTCAGACTTGCAAGATTCTGTTACTATAGCTTTACAATGCAGGTAGTACTGCCCTACATGGCATTGGTTTCCTAGCGTGGTCTACCTTGAAGGGTTGATACATAGTGGACACTGGGAAGAGTACTGACAATGAGATCATCATGTTACTCAACATCTATAATTATATCATTGGCAGCACTCCATCTTCTCTGCTGCCATCTTCTCTCTAATGTAGAACTGGGAAGAGGAGGACCAGCTGTGCTGGTTTTCCTTCTTCTAGCTTCCACTGTATCTCTCTTAGCAAAGTGGCCGACAGCAGGACACAACTAGAGCAGCATTATCTGTTAAGCTTTAAATCATTTTGGCAAGTATGTCCCCCAAAATGAGCCTAATCAGCTTCTTGAACGTTGGGGAAATTTCGACTAAACTTTTTTTTTTTTTTTTGGCAATTTTGAATTTCTTCTGGAGAAATCATCAGCTAAGTAAGATTGCAATATGTCTTTCAGATGTTTTTTATCCAACTACTTCCCTTTGGACTGGACCCTTCATAACCATTTTGGTACTTTTCAGTTGTGTCACTGCTTTTGTGACATATAAATGGATACGTAAGTATTTTAAATCTGTCACTGGCTTATCTTGTGAATTATGTGTACAAATGTTTGAAGAAATGACTCTTCTTCTATGTTTGTGCTAATAACGTGGCATTTGGCAGGATAAAGAAATGTACTCAGTAACATTGTACATATCAGCTGTAATTAACTCTACAAAACAAGGTAGACTTGACCTCATTACATTTTCTTAATAATAAAGAGTAAATTTATTTAACGTTGATCATTTCCCTGACATGGAGTTGGAAGATCATGGGAATACAGTGGGAAATACTGTTGTGCTTAAAGACCTTGATCAAGAATATTCAGCCCAACAGCAGAACATGTTGCTTTCTTGCTCAAGGAAATCCAGAAGACCAGGGTCCTACAATTTCTACCAGGGTTGACCAATGCAAATACTTTATCCCACCTGCTCCCACTCAAACAGGTTACATTTCTGTCACCCCAGATTCCTCCTGTGCCTGAAGGAGGCTCCTTTCAACCCCAAGTATCCTCTGCAAAACAATCAGAGACCTCCAACAGGGGGTTATCAAGAACAGAATTGCATAGCGTATTCTGATGTCTGACCGATTTTCATGTATTTCCTCACTTTGTTTTAGAGAGCTTCCGGGAAGTATCTAAGTTTGGTAAGTAATGGTCAATCATCTATTTTATGTTGTAAAAGGGCCTGAAATTATGTAAGTATAGTATTAAAAGAGAAGGCAATGCCTGCTCATACTGTAAGTGGCCATAACAAGAAGAGAAGGGAATGGAAGAGCCTGAACCAACAGTATCATCACTGTAATGAAGCTGGGATGTGTTTTCCTTTAAGCTCTGCAAATTGAGGGTGTTTGGATATTGAATATCTTCTTAACAAGAATTAAATACATAACAACAACAAGTCTTAATGCCCCAGGAAAGGCATGTAAAGATGCATAAACTGATTCCCTAGAAAGTCTTTACATCTAAGCGAAAAACAAACAAAACCAAATTTCTGAAATAATAAAATTAACTTGGATCTTCCAACCTCATTCTACTCTTATTTAATGGTAGGTACTAGTATATAGTGGTTTTAGAGACAGAGGATTCACTAAAAGTCTTGCTTCCCTTTCCTTCTCTCCTTATAGAGAGATATATCTATGAAGTTTGGCTTAATTGAATTTTTCAGTTCAACTTAATTTTTCATTTTTGCCTCATTGCAGAATTTTTGAAAAGACCTGACAGTTAACTGCCACCCTCAAAGATTTATGTTATGTGCATTTTTCTTACTTTCCTTGTAGGGAATGAAGGATATGAAATTAATTATTTTCTTAAATGAAATCCCAGCAATTGGAAGGTCAAATGATTTTTTCTTATAGTTTTCAGCAGAAAAGTAATTATTGATAGATTAACTCAATCCAATCCCATTTGGAAGCACACTAATTTCTCTTTCTGGGAATAGCATATTGAATATAGCATTTTTCTAGCCTAATTACAACATTATCTTCCACAGAAAAAGAAGCAAAGGAAATGAAAAGTGGTAAGTGCTTTTTATAAAATAATATATTCTACAATGATATTCAAAATTGTCCTTTTAAAAAATGTTTGTGATATCAGTGCCACTTTCCTGTCAGCTTAAGAACAGAGCTCCAATTAAATGGAATAAACAGAACCATGAAAAATGTTCGGCTGAAATAGCAGCAAATATCTTACTAAAGAATAAAAATAAACATATCATTTTTTAAAAATCCAGAAGAAAAAAACAGAACTTCTTTTACCCAAACTGGAAAAAAAAAATGAGAGAAGTTCCTTAGTGAATCTGCTTGGATGGAAAATTGCATGGCCTTGGAGTCACAACTGAGAAGGCCTTTCTGGGCAACTCCAGTTTATAAAGGGGCCCTGTCCACTTTCATATTCATTTACTAAAATGTCCCGGTCCTTTCTTTGTACTCTAAGGGCATAGCCACACTTATCATTTAAGCAACGTCTATCCTGTGCTGATGCCAGCTTGAATCTAAAGTCCCTTAAAGACAACTCTGTCTGGACATAATCTTGGCAACAGCTTGCAATTTTTCCAGTCTGGATTGTTGGTTACCATGTCCTCCCATTGGATAATTCTGCTCCTGTGGGGCCTTTGCAACTTTCCGTACTGGGAAAGCAATGGCCGGTATAGTGCTTAACAGGTTAACAGCCTTGCTTGCAGAGAAAAGGTTGCTAGTCTGAAATTCTGTAGGACTTTTGTCAGTCTGGATCTTTCTGGAGTAAGCAATTTTTCTCTGTTTTGTTTTGTTTTAAAATAAGTCCATACAATATATTCCCCA